ATATAGGTCAGACTCCCTGCCAGCCTTCAGTCTACATCTTTACAGAAAGCCTTGGGATTTCATGTTTTGCGAATAAGTGTCTGTAATACAAGTGTAACTCTTGAAACATGTCTGCTCATGTTGCATGTGGTTTATCATGTATCTCCCAAATTAATTTATTATTCCCAACAAAGGTAAATGCAGTGCTCAGATGTTTGGAAACATTTATTAAAAGGATGAATTTTATATAGCACAAGCAAAAAAAAAACTCAATAAATTCTTTAGGGCATAATATGCTGGACTACAATTGTCTGTCGAAAAAACATTTTGTTGTAGTTTGTTTTATTCTATTTGAAGGTTTTTGAATCAAACATAGGGTTGCATTTAAACATACAAACTCAACAAGAGTACCGTACATGGCACATCATACAGCCATCAACAAACTATAGTGATGGCCTGGAAGAACCAAGGACTTGTACAAACTTTGACCTTGATATTTTACCTTGAGCTTAAATCTGGGGTGATGCAAAGATTGTGCAACATGATGTCTAGTGGTGGTACAAATGTGCATCAAGTTTTTTTTAATTATCTTGAGCAGATCAAAAGTTATGGCCCCGATAGCCATACTTTTACATCCATCTTTAGAAGGGCGTGTAATAAAAAGTATCATCACACCCAATGTTGGTTTCAATGTAAACTATACCAAACTTTGTTATTTGTAAGCTCAGAAGGCGTCAGCTGAGTAAATTGTTTATATAGGCAAGATCTCTACCCTTGCAAAGTCATAAAGATCTTAAAGTCACATGTGAAATGTGAAACTCCTCTTTTCTTTGTTCCCTGGATGAAGCCACGAGATCTACAGGCACGTGAACGCTTTTCATTTGAGAGAAGCAGCCCCCGGTGACGTTCACGCTGACACCGAGCGCTCTTGGAGCACTTTCGACTTGCCAGGAAATGATAAGTTGTTCAGCCGCTTCTGTGGCGCTTCTCTGAATGAAAGATTTTAATTTCCCATTGACAGTGGTAGGTCAGAGATATGGGTGATCGTCAGAGCTGGTGCACTGCAGGAACCAAAACATAAAGAATATAGAGCATGAATGAATGAATGTAAGAGATTCATTATTAGGGAAGGACTCATTTACAATCCGAGATCTTAGAATAAATTTTAGTGTGTATAACTTTGAAATGTCTATTTATTTGTAGTTTTAATTTTAATAGTCAATTTCAATCATCCCCACAGTCTTTGAACAAAGACAAACAGGCGTTCAAACCCTCCATAGAAACATTAGACAAACAAAACCTCAAGCTCACAAAACAAATGACCTAAATGCTATGATATATATTTAAATAACTTAATAGGTAGTAGATTTATATATCAAGTGTGTTTATTTTTGTCCAAGGGTCAACACTGATACTGTAGATATTTTTCTGTCTATGGAGTATTTAATTTTTACAGGTAAAAATGATTGACACAAATAGGTCACGTCTAGCCTGTAGCAGAAAAACAAGAGCACAGACTTGTTTAATCAAAGATATGAGGACACTTTACTTTTGTCATTCCTTCCTTAACCCTTAAACAATTTTTACTTCAGGGTTTCTGCAGAAATCAGGCAATCAAATTTAATGCTATTTAATGCCATTAAAAACAACAACAACAACAATGCCATTAATAATAAATGCATAAGCTTCAGAATTGTACTATTTTAATGCCCTTTTTGATGTAATTGACAATGAATGCATACACTATTACCCTGGTACACAACTTTTTGTTTTGTTGTACTGAAGATTAAGTCTTACTTTGCAAGCTTTTCTTTTCAAAGGGGATCTTCACTCATGATTTCATGCATATCATTTGCATAGATAATCTACTGCCCCCAACACGGATGTTAGTACAAGGGCATGGTTTCAACATAGAGATTGAACTGTATAACCGTAACAGAAAACGATGTTCCCTGGTGCAAAGCTGGACACGTCTGACTTGAATAAATACACAAACGTTCAGTTAAAACATTGGCTGGAATGTCAAGGTCTTCGACAGACTGGAAAGTGGGTGGAATTGATATAAAGGTGGGGATTTTGATACTGTTGTCGTTTCGCTTTTAGTGTGTGCGTGCACATGTAGTTTTTAGTGCATATATTGCTCGAGCAACTGTTTTTGCATACTTTTAAGAAACTTAGAGATTGATATCTAAAATTTGTGTATTATTATTGCATTATCACTACTGTCATCTGGACAGAGAATAAATAAGAAAACCTGGTGGTGGAATAGTGAAGTGCAGGAAGCTATTCAGAGAACTAGGTTAGTCAAGAAGAAATCAGTGAGAGGACTGAAGAAAGTGGACGGGGATAAGGAGAGGAAACGTAGAGCAAAGAGGGAAGTAGCTAAGGCAAAGCAGAAGGCATATGATGAGGGTAATGGGAGGCTGGACACTAAAGAGGGCGAGAAGGACTTGTACCAATTTTCGAAACAGAGGGATCAGGCTGGAAAGGATGTGCAGAAGGTTAGGCTTGGTGAGTAAACCGCGATGGGAAGATCGAAGGAATACTTTGAGGAGCTAATGAATGAAGAGAATGAAATGGAAAGAAAAGTAGGTCATAGAAACTGTGGACCAGGAAGTGGGAAAGATTAGTGAGGGGAAGTTTGGAAAGCTCTCAGCAGAATGAAAGGGAAGGTGTAGGGCTTGATGACATAGCAGTGGAGGTTTGGAAATGCATAGGTGAAATTCCAAAGAGGTTTTTGACTCAAATATTCACTGGCATATATATTAGGGTGAAGAAAGAACTTCATTGTGTCTTTGTGGATTTAGAAAAAGCACATGACTGGGTGTCAAGGGAGGAGGTGTGGTATTGCATGAGGAAATCTGGAATGGCAGAGAAGTATGTTAGACTGGTACAGGACATGTATGAGGACAGCAGGACCGTGGTGAGATGTGCTGTAGGAGTGACAGATAGTTTCAAGGTGGAGGTGGGATTACATCAATGATTTGCTCTGAGCCCCTTCTTGTTTGCTCTGGTGATGGACCGACTAACAGATGAGGTCAGGCAGGAATCCACATGGACTATGATGTTTGCAGATGACATTGTGATCTGTGGTGAGAATAGAGAACAGGTTGAAGAGAACTTGGAGAGGTGGAGGTATGCACATGAAAGAAGAGGAATGAAAGTCAGCTGTAGTAAGACAAAGTACATGTGTGTGAATGAGAGGGAGGCCGGTGGAACAGTGAGGCTACAAGGAGCAGAGGTCACAAAGGTGCAGGACTTAAAAGTACTTGGGGTACACTGTCCAGGAAAATGGGGAATGTGGTAAAGAAGTGAAAAAGAGATTTCAGGCAGGATGGAGCGGATGGAGAAAAATTTCAGGAGTGATTTGTGACAAAAGGGTGTCAGCAAAGGTCAAAGGAAAAGTTTACAAGACAGTTGTGAGACCAGCTATGTTGTATGGTCTGGAGACAGTGACATTGACAAAAAGACAGGAGAAAGAACTGGAAGTGGCAGAAATGAAGATGTCCATCTTCTCCTAGGAGTGACAAGGATGGATAATAAAAATTAGATCATCAGAGGTACAGCACAGGTTGAACAACTGGGAGATAAAGTTAGAGAGACCAGACTGAGATGGTTTGGACATGTCCAGAGGAGGGACAGTGGGTATACTGGTAGAAGGATGTTAGAAATGCAGCCGGCAGGAATAAGACAAAGTGGAAGGTAAAAGAGGATATATATGGATGCAGTTAGAGAGGACATGAAGGTAGTTGGAGTGAGGACAGAGGATGAAGAGGACAGAGTGAGACGGAGGACTTGTTGTGGCAACCACTGGAGAGGGAAAAGCCGAAAGAAGAGATTCAAATTTAATGTCTTTTGAGTAATTACATTTAGCTAAATCCATTTAATGACATTTCTTTTCAATGTCCCGCAGTGGCATAAATTAAACTTTATGTTCTTTATACAAAAACTGCTATTTTTGCCTATACCAAGTCTATAAATTGACAAAACTCAATTGTCTGTTTTTTTTTTTTTTTTTTACATTTTGTCTCCTTTCTTCCCCAAGAAGATGGTATTCAATTAAGGCTGCTCACCGTTGAAACGTCAAACTGTTGTACACACTTGCACACGCGAGTGTGTTTGTGTAAGTTGTGCAGCACCTCAGACACTGATTGATATCGAGTGTTGACATTTCTTTGAATCTGTACGTCAGCTCCGTCAGCACAGCATATAAAACTAAAACTGGGTCAGCATCTGCAGTCACACGCCAGGCTTCAGTACTCTCTCTGACACGTGTTTGCTGGTTGAGAGAGGTTTCTGTTTGACCTCAGCTAAAGCACAAATGCAGGACACTAACAATGGCCATCAGCGCCAGCATTATTAACCCTTACCTCTACAAACTCCTTGACCTAGTTTAGGATTTGATCCTGTCTGCCTGCCACGTATGGCTTCATTCCTAAAAAAAGATCCACCTGATAGACATTGTTTGCACAGGGTTCACTAGCTGTCAATAAAACACCATCCAGGTAAAAAATAAATGACACCAGATGAAACCTTATGAGTTGAGCTTTGCAGAAATCAAGACAGTGCCAGTGAAATTTAAAAAAATAAAACTTTGAGCTTAAAAATAAAATGAGCAGACAGATATAAAGAAAAAGAAAAGAAGGAAAAAGCACAAAACATTTCTTAGGTTTCAGTCATTACATTTAATATTTTATTGCTTTTAATATTCCATCATTTGAACCTATGTTAATAATTTTTGGGGAAAATTGTTTAATTTACATAGTAAATTCATTAGGCTTTCAAATTAACATTCATAGAAATAAGTTAATGTAAAAACAAAAATCCCTTTACATTGACATCATTAATAAACAACTTGTTAGTTTCTGTTTAGACTTGCATCCATGGCCTTGTTTTTGCTAATGAAAGTAGCGCTGACACAGCAATGGTGCCAATGCTGAGGACACTTACAAAAAGCATTTCACATCCCACCAACGGTCTTTAATGCTGATTTAGAACCAGAGCCCAGCTCAAGTGCTGGTTCTGAGTTAGGAAATCTGGTGCTACGGTAGAATCAATTATTAGTTGTTTCTCAAGTTAAACAATCTTAAATCAGATTTAGATTGGTTAAAAAAAAAAAGTATAAAATGCAAAAATATTTCTAGCAAGGTGGCTGCACAGGCCAATCAAATCTATACAAAAACTTCTTCCTTCTTACATTCCCATTATTTATGATATGATGTTGCCTTTTCACAAAATGAAATGAGGACCAGTATAAGCCTGGTGTAGGATGGCTCTTTAATAACCCCTTGGCCAGCAGGGGGGTAAGAGGACAGGAGGGTCTGTGGTCCTTAAGGTAAACAGCCAATAAAATCCAGTTCTGACTTCCCAAAAAGCTGCAAAGATAATTTCATTAACCTACATTGTAGATGTCCCCTTTGGTATCGGTATGAGCTCAGTCTTCTGGTATTGGGGAATTACAGTTCCCGTGGTAGATGTAAACGGGTCCATCACAACGATAATACAACTGAAACACATCTCCATATCCATGGTCCCTCCACCAGGTGCACAGCTGCCGGTTCCAGCCGCAGGCCAGGGAGTAAAATAGTTCAGGATGCTCCATGCCGATCATGGTAAAGAAGTCCTGGTCACCGAGGTGGCCTCTGAAGCGATACTGGTCTGCTAGTTTGGCCACGTTGTTGGGTTTCAACAGTTGGTTGTACAGAGACGATGCCCTCATGGCACTTAGGTCCAATAACATCACACCACTGTTGAAGCCGGGAAGGCCATCAGGAGGAGGCTCACCTACTCTAGTGTTCGGGTTCTCTTTACGATATTGCCAGAAGGTGTGTCTGTGGAAAGAAGAGTAGTTTTCTGTTAGCTAACATCCCTGCAACAAACTTCGAGAAGCTGCTTTCGTGTTAGTGTATTAAAATGTAGTTTAGCTGGACGGTAATTGCTAGTCATGGATGGTAAAAAGTAAAATTCTAAACAGAATTGTAACATTAACAGAATATCTTTAATGTATGTGTAAGGAGTTGGATGTTCTGAAATATGTACTGGTAATCTTCTAGAAAAAAAAAAAAAACAGATGGAAAAAATTAGGATGTTTGGAAGAAAAAGAAAAACCAAACCAAAACCCATAATGTTATGTTTACATAATTTCCATAGTATTGTTTTTCTATTTACAATATGCCATTTTCTTCTTCTTCATGATGTAGTTTATACTTTTAGTGAATCTTGTCAAGACTATACTTTCCATTTCTGTACTTTTCCTTTTAGGGCTAGAGTGGTTTAGTCTGAAAGTACAAAATGCTCTTGTCCACACCACTAAGAGCTAGTGCTAAAATGTTCCAATCCTTCACAAAATGAGAATAAATGAGAACTTGTCCTTGGTCGGGATACCAGAGAATTCAGACTATGCTTACTTAATCCTTGCCATGCTGGAGGAAATCTACTGCAGATTTAATATTCGTAGACAAATGATGCATGGTTACCATAGGGTAATACGTTTAGTCCGTTTTCTTGGTACCAGCAATGTATGTGAGAAACTTGTTTGAATAAATATGCTTTGCATTGCATAGTTAACCCCTTCTCTCTGTGCAGTTTGATCACACGCAGAGGGAGCAGCAGATAGCCTGAATCATGCTTTGATATTATTGCTGACCTAGATTCAGCAGCTGTAGCCTGTTCTCATCTTTTAAACAGTCCTTTATGTTGGGAACTGGGGACTTGAAACCCTTGTGGAGCATTTATCAGTTTGAAGATGTTTGCTTGGTCTATGTGCCACAAGACACGTCCTGGATGAACGAGTTCAGCAAGGGAACATTTGCACAGGCTTTTCCATGATGCTTTTTTAATCACTAGACGTGAGCAAAACGTCAAAGTCACAAAAGCCTTAATATGCAACAAACACCACGCTGGTTATGTAAAGTGAAGGTAAACGAGAATGGCAGGCAAAATCTATATTTAGTGGAGGAACAAATATTAGGTCTTAGCTGTCCCAATATGGTTGGTCTGCAGACATGTCAATAGTGAGACAGAGTTAGGATTTGAAAAAGTTTACCTTGTGTTGTAGTTGTTTCATTTTTTATTTATTAAGGAATGTTTGGTAAAATTGATTATTTCAGCTGAAATGCATAAACATTGGGATGAGGCAGCCAGCCCAGCTCATGTTTTGTTTTTATATCTATAAAGATAAATGTGAATTAATCCTTATAAGGGCACATTGGCCCAGTGTTTACCCACATTAAATCCTATCCTTATTTTGTCTGAGTGCAATTTTTTTTACTTTAAATCAAACTAAAATATTTGCTTTCTTCCTCAATGGCTTCAGAGCCAGATTATGAAACAAGTTTTTATAAATACAGGCCTTGCTCAAGGGCCCAGAGTGGGGCAAATGAGGGTGGAAGCAGGTGTGGGTGCCTCGAATCACAGGCTTGCCATCTCTGACCTCTGTTCCACCACGCCACCTGGAGGCAGGTGTGGGTGCTTCGCCTTTCATTCAACCTTTATTTATACAGGTTAATCCCATTGAGCCACGGGAACTCATTTACAAGAGACACCTGAAAAGAAACTGTACTTTCACACACATATTTTGATGTTGTTGGCCCGTGGGGGTCGAACAGACAACCTTCCGATCACAGGCTCGCCTTCTCTAACCTCTAAACACCTAGAGAGGTGCCTAAAGCCAATTAAAAGATTAATTCAATTGTACATATAAAAAATAAAGAAAGGTGCAAAGAAATAACCATTTTAACAATAATTTTGTCAATAACATTCACTCAACCAAAAAAATGTATGATATTCTAACTACCGTACTTGTCGCCGTACACGTCGCACCGCCATATAAGTCGCATCAGTCCAAATATGTCTGATAAAGTGGAAAAAAACATAAATAAGTCGTTTCTCCATATAAGTAGCATCTATCATGTATACGTCACCGCTGACCACCTGGAAACGTGGGCCGGTGTTGTGCCAAAAATCGTTTGGCTGCCAAATGGTGGCCGCCGGAGCGTGCACGGGAGGACTTTAACAAGAATTTAACAAGATTAACACTTATAAACAATTATTTGTTTGCTCGACATTATAGTAAAGGTGTGTCTCAGTTGAATTTTTCCTTAATAAATGCACTTTAAATGGTCAAATCAGCTGCATTTTGCATGGGCGCTGGGCAGAGCGGTGAAATGCAACTGATTTGACATTTGCTTCAGGAGTTCCGGAGCGAGACAAAGGTGTCTTTGCATGGCAAACCTAGTGTCTTATTAATAGCCACTTTGATCTATTAATGAGACACTTGGCTTACCATATTGGTCGAGGGCCCTCTAGAAGCTGAAAATGTTAGTGTTCAATATTTTCCATGTCAGAGAAAATGAAATTGTTAGATCTCAGCCAAAAATTGGGTTATAAATATGGGGAAAACAACGTATATTAGTGGCTTCGGTGTAAAAGTCGCAGGACTTGCAAATTGGTGCAAAAAGTTGCAACTTATATGGCAAAAAATATGGTAAATCTTTTTTGTACTATTATCCAAAAAATATTGTCATCTTGGTTGCTAACATATTTCAGTTGAGGGTGATTTGATTTTGTTTTCCCCCACAGATTCTCCACAGGTTCCGCAGGGCTAGATTCTTGGACATCTTCTGTTTGCACTGTACTGTATCTGCTCCCTTTGAGTTTTATCATGAGGAAACATGGTCTTTCCTTTCACTGTTATGCTGATGACTGTCAGATTTATCTGCCCTTAAAACCCAATCGTTCTTGCTCCATTCACCCTCTGTTAAAATGTCTTTAAGGCATGGATGGGTTAAATTTTTAAGTTTTAACAATCAGAAAACTGAAATTATTGTGTTTAGCCCTAGCTCTATTGTCCTCTCTGATCTTGTAAATCTTGACTCTCTTGAGCCTTAAGAGACTTAAGCAGTCAGTTTCAGCAGTCAGTTGTTGTTTTTTTTTCAACCTCGGGATGGTTTTAGACTCTGATTTTAAGTTTAATAAAGAGATTAACTCTGTTCTGCAGAAAAGCTTCTCCCAGTTAAGGCAGCTAGCTAAGCTCAAGTCAGTGTTGACCAGATTTGACCTTGAAAAAAATAGTCCAAGCCTTCATTACAACCCGACTAGGCTACTGTAACACGCTTTATGTTGGGATCAGTCAGGTTTCCCTTTCACATCTCCAGCTCATCCAAAATGTTTCAGCTCGGCTCTTAACAGGAACTCGTAGGTTTGATCATATTTCACCAGTTTTGTCCCCCCTTCACTGGCTCTCTGTACGTATCAGAAAACATTTTAAAATTCTCCTTTTGACCTTTAAGTGCCTAAATGGCCTTGCACCCTCTTATCTCTCTGAGCTACTTCAACCATATGTTCTTTTTCGGACGCTGAGATCATCTGATCAGCTGCTTTTGGTTGCACCAAAAAACAGGTTGAAGCTCAGAGGAGATCGGGCTTTTTCAGTCGTGGGCCCTAAACTTTGGAACAATCGGCCCCCCGACATTAGACAGGCCACTTCACTTCTTGTTTTTAAATCTCTTTTAAAAACACATCTGTTTTCACTGACTTTTAACACATTGTGATTTGATTTAGTATTTTATTGTTTTGTGTGTTTTTATGTTTTTCTTTCTATGCTTTTAATTATTTATTTTTTAATTTAAATTACTGCCATTGACTTTTATTGTTAAGCACTTTGCTAACAGCTGCTGTTTTTAAATGTGCTCTATAAAAAAAAAATGATTTGACTTGGCAAATCCTGAGTTGACTTCGCTATGAATTCCTCCTTAGACCAAATTAAAGAGTAAATCAGTCAGATGTGCAGACATCTGTCTGACAACGGCAGTGTGGCTTGAACTCGCTCGTACATCAGTGCAGTGATCCTGACAGACAACATTTTTTTCTGTCTTCTTCTATCAGTACAGTCTGAACTCGTACAACTCTTCTAGCTTCGATTGGTGCTACCACGCTGTCACTTCACACCATTCTCTCTCGTCTCCAATTTTTGTGTCCCATCTTTCAAGTGAAGTGTCTCTGACTTGTGAAAGAATGGATAGCATTAACAGATGATGGGGACATTCTGTGCTGCCATCACACAAAACTGTGTCCGTCCTTCACTTTGTTCGGGACAAGAAACAGCCTGCTCTCTGCTGGCATAGTGAAACTCTCTTGCTAACAGGCGGAATGGGTTTGAGGTGGTGGTGTGGGGAGAAGGTCTGAACAGGGAGTTTTACAAATTAAACGTCTGGTTCCTTCTTGTTACATAATGATCTAGCGATGAGAAGAAACGGGCCCTTTAATATTAAAGGTGTTGCTAAAATTTAAAATCCAAGTTTTCTGAATTTTGCCAATTCCCTGTATGACAATGTGTGTGTGTGGTTGCACTTGAAAGCTCCAAGCTGCTGAAGCTAGGTAGTGCAAAGTAAAAAAAACAAAGAAATTAGTCAGTTTTTAAACCAGAATAAAAGATTTAGATGTGACAGCAAGCATAAAACTTCACTCACAAAAGTAAAATATTAATATTTTTACATCTGTTAGAGAGGATAAATCAAACAATGAAGACTCATTACACAAAATATTAAGAGATGAATCTACTTATACTTCATTAAGAGACCAGAGCTCCCTGGCAGAGAAGATATCCTCTCTCTGTGGGATATTGTCTAGTTAAAAAAATAAGTATTTTATAGTTTTGTATTCAGATGTTAAAGGAAATGGGTCTAATCTCCCAGGTTTAAAAAAAATTATTAACCCAGAGGAATAAACAAAAGATGAAATAAACTTTTCAGTGGCTAGATGTACTGTGAATGTGAGTGGTGGGAGGATGCATTATCCTGCATGATGTTCTGTTCATAACACCAAAACAGAG